AAATAATCTCGATCTCAAAGTATGAAAATTCATACGGACGCTCAGGTCTCGAAATACTCAAAAGTCACGGAGACCTGGAAAAAGAGGGATATATATGTATACCCAACAAACCGTAAACCTCAACTTGGAGTTCTATCGCAAATACCCCGCTATTAAAATCTTTGCTCAGCAAGGGTGCTAATTTCTATCTCTTCCGTGCGAAAGATAAATTGCAACGAAGACTTTTCCTCCGCTCTCTTTCTCTCTCAGCGAACGGGATCCGTTGCCAAGTTTATCCGTACAGACACACACTCGGACAGCCGTGGAAAGAGAGAAGCGAGTTTCGAGCAACCATACCGAAGCCGTGAGAGTAAACGCCCTCGAAAATCAGCGTGCGCGTATGTATTTGTTTGTCCGCGTGTTTGTAGCGCGGGGGACCGAAAGGATATTTCGAGCGTGAGTGGGGCGATAAAATCTCGAGTGCTCGAGTGTCCCTTTGAATTTCCCCAGATACGCAGTCGAGCGAGAGACGCGCTTGCATGGGTACGAAGCTCAATCGCTATTGGATTTCTAGGGCTTGAAATCGGAAGGGATTGTCCCAGCGTTTGTTTAATAGATCAATCAGGCTGGCAGATAACTTCACCTCATTGTTCATTGAAAACATCGCTTTGACGGATAAATTGAATACGTATTTTTCGTAGATGAGTTCGAGCTTCGTTTTTAAATTTAATCGTAATTTTCTGCGTTTAGCTTGTTCATTTATGTATAATATACTGCTGTGTTCAAAGTATCTAAATGGGTCAAAAGAGGAGAAGATAGCGCCTGCATAAATTTCGTTTGTTACAGGTGTCAGGGGAAATTGACGTAGTTTGAATTAAAGTTGCTCCAACAGTGTATTTTGCACTCAAAGCGAAATAATTACATCCACGTGAATCAGCAATGACGGGATGTCACGTGATTTTGGAGTATTTCATCAAAAATATTTCGTATCAAATTGTTTGATGTGGAGAATTGGGTAGTATGAATGATGCGTACCTTGTATCAACATTAAATTAATTCCACGAGATTATGAATAAAAGCAATGTTTCCGTTGATGTCCATAGTCCAGTACAGTTTTACCATCGTCATGATTCATTTTTCATTTGATCACTTAAATTTCGTAAATTCCGCGAAAATACTTAAAACAATCGCATCACATGGTTGGCAAAGCATTTGAGCGCACTAATAACGTATAATTTTAATAAACTGAAACATTAATTAGGTCAATCAATGGATGATTGAAAATTAATCATGGGTAAAGACTCGAAATTCGAAATTACACGAGCTAATTAAAATTGTAAAAGAAACATTTAGGTCGGTGAGTATCACGTAGTTATTAGTACCCAATTAGGGAATCTTGAAAGTTGTATATCTCCTCCGAGTACAGTTTAAAGTTTCAAATTAATACATCTAATACAGTTTCTTTACAAGAAGAATCTACTCCAAATTGGTGGCTACTTCTTCTTTCGTTCAGTACCTGATTCGTTGATTCAATTGCAACTCCCGTATACTGTAAAATATTTACAATCCATACCAAAGATGGCCAAAGTTTACGATCATTGGTGCTACATGAAAGACAAAGTGATTATATACTTACAACAATTTAATTAGATAATTTGAATACAATGAATGCTATTCAACGATTAACACTAACGATCTCTCAAAAAAACTGCGCCAAGAATGGATTGAAAAATAAAAAACACGCGCTTTTTAAACGTGAAACATCGTAACACTGGTGAACTATTGCGATAGAGGAAAAAAGCATTATCCGCAAAATTCAATCCCTCGCTTGTAGTCACGTAAAAAGCGTCAAAGGAATATCTTCCCGCTTCTCGCTCGACGAAAACAATAGCCATGAAATAAAATTCCTCCACCCCTTGCTACAAAATCTTTCGGATCAAAGGACCGCGCGCAACGATTTCTCCGCAATAATGTCCTGCAGCACTCGTGAGAATTGAGCAGATTTTCTTTTCTTTCTTTTATTTTTTTTTATTTTTTTTTTATTTTTTTTTCACCTATAGGTGAACATACGCGTATAACCTTTATTTCGAGGCACGAGCTGCGGTCTTCCAAGCTCGTCGATTAATTTAACGATTCACTGCCGAGTGGTGTTGGCTGAAAAGAGGCGAGCGAGTACATGCAGAGACACAAAAGGCCAACAGTCGTTGGATTGAAAAAAAAAAGGGGGGGGGGATCATTGACACGCTACCCACACAAAGACACACACTGGCAGGAGAAAACGCGGGCTTCCACCTTTTGTGCGCAGAGGGATATCCTACGGACCGCAGAGAGGGCGCGTACACACCCACCGATAAATCCATTAATCCTCGTCGCTTGCCTCTCCTCTCTTTTCTCTGGCGCTCGAGTGACACTTTGCAACCTTTTCACCGCTGTCTCTCTCGGCTCGATCGATTATTCCGGCGAGCGATCAAACCGCGCGGAGCTAGGCCGCCGCTCTGAAGTATCGCTAGCGCTGCTAACTATTTTGCTGACCGATTTGCATACCTTTCTCTCCGGGACCTTCATTTATCAACTTGCAACTGATGAAAGTGCTGCAACGGATACTTACTTTTGTGTGCTCGCGAGTTGCGAATACTTCGACCGCGATGCTAACGGAAAATGAGATTTGTGGCTGTTCACCAAAGCTTGGAGAAAAAATTTATTATTCGTCCATTCCGGAGAATCAGCTCATTATAATTTTATTATTAACATAGTTTATCGGCACAATCATTCCTCAGGACGTTTTCGTTAGAGCACAAAGTTTGTCTACAAATAAACGCTTTACATTTGTTGCACAACAAAATTTGATCCTTCAACGGGGGTGGTTCTACTATTTCACATTTTGCGTTTAATCAACTTTGAATGATAAAGTTTCCCATACCATTGAGCTCGAATTTGATGAACAACTTTGTCTTTGTACGAGAACCCGATAGTGGTGGACAATCAGAGTAGTTAAAGGGGAACTAGTTCCCTTTTTCTTCAATACAACTTCACAAGTTGACTATTTACAATGTGTACCATCGGGAAAAAGATCGAGTTGTTAAATTTTTTGGGGCAGCCGCACCCAAAAATCCAAAAACGGACTTGCAAAGAGAAATTTTTAGTCCGCGCGGGGACAATCGATCTCCGTAGCGCATCAACGCTGAGCCTCCCCCGCTGAGAAATTCCAATTACAAGCGTCATTCCCGAAAAAGCGGCTCGAGTAGTGTACTACACGGACCCCCGAAGTTTCGCCTATAAATAAATCCCAACCAGAGCGGGTTGCTCGAGCTTCCGTGGTGGAGTCTCGTTTTGAAGTTCCAATGTTGGGCCCGAAAACTTGGGCGTTCCCGGCAATAGATGCGCAAGTAAACTTCTTGGGCGATATAAGGGGGGCTGGATTCCTTGTACCGGCGGCGATGCACGAAAGAGCAAGGGTGCCCGGTTCTTTGGCGAAATTTTCAGGAGCGCGCGACGAGAATCAGGGGGATCGATGAACGCTGCCGCCACTCGCGCGACTTTTTCCGCAGCAGAGCTGCTCCTCCTTCCGTTGCTCTACTCCTCCTTCCCCCGGTGCATCACAGAGACCAGAGATTTTCGCGAAATCTGAATTCAAGCTGGCGTTTCTCTCTTGTCCCCCCGCATTTTCTCGAGAGACATTTCGCTCCTTGTACACCCCGTGAAGAGAATATTCGCGGTGCATTGGCCCGCCTTCCACCGCAAAAAGAGAAAACTTTGCCTCCACCCGACACAAACTTTTGCTCGTCGCGAACGGCAGCCCCGATTATTACCCTCCTCCGTGCGCCTGCCTCTGACAGAGCGAGGGTCATTATGTGCTCCTTTTTGTTCCTCCCCGCGTTCTCTGCGGGAAAACCTTTGGCAAAACAAAAAAAATATACATCTCAAAATTCCGAAACCCTCCCCAATACCGGTAGCCACCGAGAGGACAAGTAATAATCACAAGCTCGCTCTAATGACGATCGTCCTATTTCCCATCATCGGCTTTTCCCCCGGTAAAAGAAGCCGAAAGGAGAAATAAAAACAGCACTGCGGCTTCTAATCAAACAGATCAATCGAAACGGGGGGAGTAGAAGTGAGATAAGAGCAATAAATCAATCGGAGCCTTGATCAACCGGCCGCTACTTCAAATCTCGTCTAGCATCATATCCCCCTTGTAATGAATCGACGGGAATCAGCTCGAAGAAGCAACGGACTCGTCAGCTTTCGAGTACTGCACGACGTTACACGTGTACGTACGATTGTCGTCCACTGACTTTTCCCGGCAATTTCTTCGCCCTGTATGGAGGAAAACCCCTAACTCCGAGAGTCCCTCACCGGTCTATCTGCTCCTTTTTTTTCCCCCTCCCATCCCTCCCTTTTGACAAACAAATGACCGTACAATCCGAGGTCGGGCGTCGAACCAGAGCTGTTCGCTACTGTATTTACTTTGTGCTCTCGGCTGGTAGAGATCAGGTCTCCCCCGAAGAGGTCCTTGGTAGAGCGAGGGAAAGAGATTGTTGGGGATCAGGGGGTAAAATCAAATCCACCGCTCGAAGAGGCAAACAAAAAAAAGCAACAATAACAACAACCCCCTGCAATAATCCTAGAGAAAATAAGCGTCAGCGGGGGGAATATGTACAGATATATAGGTGGACGTAGGTGCAGTCCCGTAGCAGATAGTAGAGCGGGAGAAAGGGTGCGCGAGATTGTGAGCACGCTTGCGCGAGTCCCGGGGGCGGCCGCGTCTTCCCTCTTTCTCTGCACCGTCTGCGTTGGCAGCGCCTCCACCACCACCACCACCACCGTTGCCATACGTGTGGTACACTGAAGCCCGGCAGGCTTTTCGGTACAGCCCGAGCTGCTGCTTCGCCCGGGTCGTGCCAACGACTACCCTCCCATTTGGCCTCTTTCTCCGGCACACGCGCGATACCAGCGATTCTCTTGCTCTGCTCGCTGATGTACTCTGTCGCGGGCGTGTGGGTGCCCAGTGGTGGAGGCTCCAAGGGACGAAGCAGAGAGGGAGACGCCGAGTGCTCAGTACCGCTAGGTCCGCCGCCGCCGCCGCTGCTGCTGCTACCGTGTCTCCGTGGGTTTAAACAAGCTGCAGCACGGGGCTCCTCGCGAGGGACCCTCCCCCTTCCCCCCCGAGAGTGAGTGTATATAGGGTCCTCTCACTCGCTCTGCGGCGCCTTCAATTCTGTTCGGTTCTCCCTCTCTCTCTCTTCCTCTGTCTGCGTGTGCGCGGCGGCAAACGCCTACCTACCTACCCGTCGCTGGGCCCCCTTTGTCTCGGTTGTTTGTTTGTTACTCTTTTGGCTTTGATTTACCGAGCTGCTGCTGCTGATTGCCCTTTCTTTATTTTCATTACAATTATTATTTCTTTTTTTTTTTTTTTTTTTCACAACCATCTTTTGGAAAGGAGAAGAAAAATCATGGTGCTCTGATCTTCAGTTTGTGCCTCTACGATATGGTTACTACTGCTGTTGTTGTTGATTATTTATGTGACGGTTGACGAGCCCTCTTTGCTAGTGATCTGTGTGAAAAAAAAAAAAAAAAAAAAAAAAAAGGATAACGCTCAAATGATTGAATAAATAGTAAATCGGTCCGAATTGTGTGACGAATGGCCAAAGTGGCGTGCAAAAGTTGCTGGAGACAAGGGCAGTAGTGGGCAACAGCCATCGTCGAGGAAACAGACACTAGGAGGACAAGGAGGAGGAGGGCTCCCAACAAAGACGGCCGAGGCATGCCAGCAGCAGCGCTCGCTGCAGCATGAGGACGTCCTCCTGCGTCAACTACTACGTGCTCTGCCTCGTGTGCTGGGTACTGCTCGGCATCACCGGTAAGCTCTCTCTTTCTGTCCCTCTGTCGAACTCGGTCACTGGGTTTTTGCCCCGTTGAGAGGTTCAAGTGCTCCGGTTTTTTTTCTTTTTTTTTTCCATTTGCATGCAATGATACGTCCGGATCATCATCATCACCAGTGACATTAAAAATAAACCGTGCTCGTTATACTGGTACTTTAATGTATCTGATTGAAAAGACAAGGTACATGCCACTTGGTCATCTCGGAATAAAAAACCGAAATCGGAGTCGATTGTAGGGCGGTTGCCTCCCAGCTTCAATTTTCATCCGAAGATTAAAAGTCAGGCAGTGTTGTTGTTGGTTTTCGTGCATTTTGTATCCTTTCGTAACTCGATACGTGACGGGAAACCCGAACCGATCGTTTAAATTTCACGAGGTGAGGAAAGGAACGTCGACCACCCGGTTCTCCGATGATTCTCATGTAAAAGCGCGCGAGTTTTATTAAAACATCGATTAGGAATGCACGAATCACCGACTACGGTGGGCGGAGCGATGTTTCGAAAAATCGATCTCTGTGAGTTTTCTCTGTCCATTCTAAATCGATCTGATGGATTCACCGAGAGAACAGTTGATTGTGTATCATCGCAGTGTATTCGATATGGAGCCGATCCATACAGAGGCAAGACCGAAGGACCTGGAACGTGGATAGTATACAGTACACGCGGGGCGTAGTCTCCGGCAGATACAACCCGTGGGCTTGATAAATCCAAATCCCCGCCACCACTGTACCTATACAAGTGTAACCTGCTTACCCTGCGAGGTTTGTTTCTCTCTCGTGGCCACCGACAACTGGCCCCTCGAGCATTTTTTCCTCCTCTGATCTCTCGCTACGATCGATCTTCCGCGTAAACATACAGCCAGTTTGATGACGCGTGTGGAGTACAGTTCATTCCGTCTGTCGTGACCATACTCTGGGAGTCCCTTTTATCCATTTGTCTCTGCTAGAAGGGACGACAACCCCCCCTTTTTTTATCCAGAGGAATCTAGCAAAAAAAAAAAAAAAAAAAAAGGGTACCAGACGGGCTGACTTTCTCTCCCTCCGACTTTTTGTTTTAATGGCCGACGCTCTATCTGATTGGCGGGCCGATTGCCATTACTCCGCGCTGCGAGCCGCTGAAAGTCGTTTACTGAATTTTTAATGATCGCAGCTCGTTAGACCGAAACGTCGGTGACATCGCGAGTTATGGATGGACTTTTAATTGATTAGATCCACGTGGAACGATCGTCGAACGAATAAACTAACGAGATGTCGTTCGGGAACTTGGTTTCACGGCTTTGTTTTTGATTCGAGGGAGTAAGTGAATCTTAACTCGAGCGAGATGCAGTACAGTATTACAGTTTCGAGATCACTGTCTCGTTTGGAAGAGGTGCAATAAAATAACACTATCGGAGTAATATCCCCTCGAACCCCCCATTCGGAGGGTAATGAAACGAGGCGAGGGGCCTCTCCGAGGGAGGGAAAGCGAGGAGGAAACGATACAAAACGACTGGCCACGAATAACCCGAGGGGCCGTAGAACGAGAGCACATTCGGACGCTGGGAGCTCCATCGCGAAATAATTTAAGCGCGGTTATGGCCTCGTTAACACAATCGCCATGAAATTGCCGTACTTACACCCAGTCCACGGTGTACCACTACTTTCCCCCGCCCCCCCTCTCTCTCTCTCTCTTTTCGAGCCGTTACGTCGTAATCGCTGGTGATTTTTCGTACTCACGTATACACGCACGTACAATACGCCTCCATGCAAACAGCTCTACGCGTATAAACACACATCTCGATCACGCAAAACGGGGAGGGGGGAGGTACATAAGACGGGGTAGGAGTAAGAAAAATCGATAAACAAAGTACGAACGGCTGAAAAACTCGGGCAGGGAGTGTACATAGACAAAAAAGCTCGTGGAAGCGCCGAAAGAAGCGGATAAACGTGGGTATGTACGTACGGGGTGGAGAAAAAAAAAGAGGCTAACTCGCACCCGGGGAGGAAGAAGGAGAGCCCAAGACCCACTTGGGCGGATGCCATGGTTCCACGTAGCTACAGCATCGGAAGTTTTTCCCTCTACCAATCCCCTCCCCCCCTACCGCACGGCCCGCTTGTTTGAATATCCGTGAGGCTTGGGTGTGTTTAACACGAGCGGCAATCCAGGGCGGGTAAATCACAAGGAAAACAAGCGTCGAGCTTTCGCTTGATCGGAACGCGGGTGTATCGTACGAGGCGCTGAAGCAGCCAATTACACGGTGAAACGTTGATCAAATTGAGGGTACACCGGGTAGGGGGTGTATACATACATACGAATGATCGAGGGTAGTAGTCGAAGCCAAGTACGCGCGGACGCTATACATCCCACCTGAGAGCCCCGTCCTTGAGACTCCAGAGATCCTCTTGGTCCCGCTTCTATTCTCTCCTCTCATCCTGATTTCTTTCCTTTTTTTCCCCCCCCCCCTGCAGGGATTCGAAGATCAGAAGCTGAGAGAAGTAGTAGGGCGTTTAGCGCGTTAAACTCGGCTTGGCTCTCAAACCCTCTCGAGATGACCGAGTGCTTCTTTTCTCCCTGCCCGAAACACTTTACCGGGGCTGATGGACAGCATGGAGCGCGCATTGTTAAGTACACTCCCACTCGTTTTGTCGTCTCACCTCGGATGAGGGTGTGCATAGGCTGACTTTCTGTATTATTCGGACCGTGGGCGTGCGGAGGGAATGATTTGAAAATGGTTGTTCGGAGGATCGTTTGTTGTGTCAACTCAAAGTGAAAAAAAAAGAGCTTTGTCTCACGCACCCCGAATTAATTGCCATTTTTGTACATGAGTTGACTATTAAATGTCCTCGGACTCTAGTTGCACTCCCACTTTCCGGGAAGTCGTATAATCGTTGGGATGCTTCCCAGTCAGTCTGCTTTATCCAGATGACGTACCAAAGATTTCGTCTCTGCGTTATTATTCAACCCGTGTGGCGAGCTTTTTGAGTCGCTGCCACTGGTGATGTTTTCTGGATGATTGGCTCCCCTCGTGGTGTATACACGCCCACCGTGCGTAATCAAGTTCTTTTCAGAGAAGAAGGGTATATGGTCGCTCTTCTCGCCTTTCGCGCGAAATGGAATTTTCAATCGCACCCAAGGAGCGCGGGAGCAAACAATTAAAAGCGAGAATCGATAAATATCAAACGAAGAAAGTGGAGCGAGGGGGCCGCGTCGGTTTCCTTTGACGAGGGCTCTTCGAGATTTGTTTCCTCATTTGAAATTCATTGGTTTCTTCGGCCCGGTCGGGCTGCTGCAAACCGCGCCGAATGAGAATCGCATCGGTGGCTGCTGGATCTCGAGGCGCGGCGACATCGGTCTCTTTCTCCGACCTGTTTTTTGCAAGAACAAGCCACGGAAAGAAGCATGACCCGGAGTTTCATTCGCTCGCTTCGTGGGGTTTGTTTCTCGAGGGCGAAACTAAAAATTTGTAGGCCTCGTTGAATTCTGCACTGGGGTTTTTCCAACTAACTGTATCTTTTCTTTCTTTCTTTTTTTTTTTTTTTTTTTTTTTTTTAAAAAAATGAAAAAAATAATTTAAATGTAGTTTAAAGGGGAGGGAAAAAAAAAAAAAAAAAAAAAAAGGTAGCACTCCCACACGCGATGGAAAAAAGTCTCGGAGGAGGAAATGGAGGCTATAGGAGAGAAGAGGAGTCAAGAAANTCTTTTGGCTTTGATTTACCGAGCTGCTGCTGCTGATTGCCCTTTCTTTATTTTCATTACAATTATTATTTCTTTTTTTTTTTTTTTTTTTTTTTCAACACCAACACTTAATTTCACGAGACAAGAGTACAGATTACGGTGGCCCGGAGAGAAATTAAAAGTAAAGACGCAGCGGTGATAAAAACCAACGCTCCCTCGCAAGCTTAATTTCCCGTGTAATAATTCGCGGTGGAGAAAAACACGCTTGCGCCGTACGTACGATGCAAACAACGCGCTCTCAAAAAAAAAGCCAGGGGTATGACAAAGGAGAGAAGGAGCTCCGCGTGAAAGTAAAAGCAAACGCAGGGGAGAGCGTGCCAGAAGAATTATCTTGGAGACAAAGGAGTTCGAGGGCAAGGGAAAAAAGGGCATCGGCACTCTGGGGGGTGAAAAAACAAGACACATCGTGGTAGACCAACGGGCCCCGGCAAGGAAAATAAGAGGCTCAGCCGACCGCGAAATCGCCACGCAGAGACACAGTGGAGCTGTTGGTCGCGTCTGTTTTTGTTTTTTGTATACGTACGCGCGGGCTTTTAGCGGGTGACTGCGCCCGTAAAGCGATATCTTTTTTTGCGCTGTGCTCTTCTTTCCCTAGTTTTCGTTCTGTTTCTGTCTTCCAACACAAAGGGGAAGCGAAAAAGTGTCCCTCTTCCGCTTTGCGGGGTCGTCTTATTCTTTTTTTTGATTTTTTTTTTTTTTTTGAGGAGGTTCTCATTTTAGTTTTTCGATTTCGTTTATTTTTCGGTTTGTTGACGCTCTCGCAGTTTTGTTATTTATTCGACTGATTGGTATGCAAATCTTCTGACATGGAATAAATTTGTTCGGAACGTGGGTGTGATGGTTGATTTATAAAATACAATTGGACGAGCAGCTGATTCAATTTTGACAAGTGGATTTGGGGGCAAGCATGAACCTTTTTTATTTCTCTCCTCACAATTTTTGAGTTCTTCATTTCGTTCCATATATTCTATAGCCCGATAATCATGTGACTTTAACCGTATAATTTGATGCTGCAGCTAAAAATTAATGATCCACCCAAGTCGTGGTGACACGTCTCGAACACTCGCTCGGTATTTGGATAGCAACCAATCAGAGGGAGGATCAATGGGCGCCAATCCGCGAGGGCGAGTAACCCTAGACGCCGGGAAAATGGAGAAGGACGGATCGATCGAAATAATTTAGAGGTGCGCTTTAACAAATTGATAGTGTTTGTCTTGTCCGGGGCTCTCCGACTTCGATCCATTCTCCAAATTGCTAATCGCGCCCT